CTAGCTTAATATTAAGCTAGCAGCTTCAAAATTAACAAAAATGAATGAAAGACAGTGGATAGATTTAGTTAGTGGAATATTTAGTACTCATTTTGTACTAGTTTGTGCCACAAACAATACTTTTGTACTTACTGGTATTTTAAAAAGAATCATGGCGCTGCTTAATATTAAGCTAGCTAGGACCAAACTTCAAAATTAACAAAAATGAAAGAAAGACAGTGGATAGATTTAGTTAGTGGAATATATAATACTCATTTTGTACTATCACAGCAAAATCATACTCCCACAATTGTTTAAATAATAAGTATTGTTAAGAATTAATATAACTATTGTCAGAAATTAATATTTAGTTGGTCCAATCAATAGATATTAAAATATTGACAAATTTCTCACGATTAATGTCTCGAATGAATACCTATTCTAAACCGTAATTGTTATTAATGTTTAATCGAACACTGAATGATACTGTATCGCAAATGTTTAATTATGTCGGAGATATTAAGTTTTAATTGGTCCAATCAATATATATTAAAATATAGAAAAATATCTCAAGATTACTTATTTTATTCTCAACTTTTCAGGTTCGAAAATATTGCTTTCTCGAATAACATTGGTATAATAATCTGAAACTTTAAAATTAATTGAATTAAATTAAATTAATTGAATATTTACAATGCATATAGTATCATTCAGTCTTCGATTAAATATTAATAAGAATCACGGTTTAGAATAAGTATTCATCGAACACAGTAATCGTAAAGAATTTTTATATATCGTTATATCTGTTACCTGAAATAACTAGAAATTAATTTCTGACAAATGTTAATTATTAACAGCGATCGGGAATATGACTGCTGTAATATTAACATTTCGTCAATTCTATTGTCCTCTGGAACAATCCGGAAGTGTTTGGCATGATTATGTATACTCAATCAAAAATACAGAAAATGGCAAGAGAAATTTTTTTCTCTCTTTCATGAATGCCTCTTCATATGCCAAGAAAGTTTTTTTGGGAATAATTCCCAAATGCAAATTATTCCCAGTGCAAAATGATAAAATATAGTTCGAATCATGATTGCTTTTATATAATTTTAATTGATCGTAATTATTACAAATATTCTGATAATATCCAAAAGAATACGTTTCGTGTTTAGATTGTTTTTACTAAACTAAGGATTTCAAATATTAAATAATATAAAACTAAGGATTTAAAATAAGAAAATGCAGAACATATGCGCTTGTGCGGCATAAAATATTAATAGTATTATATTAATTTATGAAATATTGATCAGTCTATAATTTGCGCGAGTTTCCCGCGTTTCATAAACGGATGAAATGTTGCAGTCTAGTAATTATCGCGATAAATATTAAAGCACAGAATATTCAATCCACTGTCACAGTCTTGCCAATAATATCTGTTTTATTCTTTTAACGTCAATATATTAATATGAAATGTGCTACGCACTGGTTCTATATATTTCATTTTATTGTTACTAGACGAAAGTGTTCAAAGTCGGACCTTCCACATTAGTTATTTTTTTTTTGTATAACTTATCTTCATTAACATACAATTAAATTTCAGTGTCAAACAATTCTTCGATCAGTTATCCAAAAGACCTTGGCAAAATTCGTGTAAAGAATTGTGGTGAAAAACATTTTTTAATTCACAAAGTGTCAAAATAATGGTTCGCAAAAAGTGCTCGGACAACCTTTTCTCACATATTAACTAAGTTAGTTTGAGTTTAATATACATGGTGTTTCGTTTAAATCGGAGTGGTTAAATATCTCACGAGGGGATAAACCTATCAAGATACTTATCTAATAAATATTTATACGAAAGTTACTTGAAAGGGACAAATTGTATGGAATAAATAATTTTGTTGTAAGTGATGTAGTAGGGGAAATTTAATAGACAAATTATTTGTTCAAAGTGGAATCTTGTATGTTTTTATCCAAAATGGCATTTGTTTGAATACATTCATCGACTTCTAATATAAGGTATCACATTAATTGTAATATAAAGTTCTTAATTCGAATTTGTAATCGGTAGTCTAACGAATTTGTAATTGATAATCTAACAAACGTAGAAGAAGGAGAGAAATGTTAGCAAATTTCATTCAAATTGCGGCGCTGTTTTTATCAATAATATAATGGCATTTGTTTGGATAAATTCATCGACTTCTAATACTAGGCATTACATTAATTGTAATATGGAGTTCTTAATTCGAATTTGTAATCGGTAGTCTAACGAAGATAGAAGAAGGAAAGAAATGTTAGCAAATTTAATTCAAATTGCGGCGCAAATACCAAAGATGGCCAAAATTTTATTCAATTAACAAGTAGTTAATGTAGTCCAACGCAGAACAACCTAAGCGATTAAATTTTTGATTTTATTTATCTTGCATTATTGTTATAATGTAATTTCTAATGTTCATTCAACCTGTAACGGATGAATAGGGTTTATTTTTCATTTGTTCCTCACCTTAAGGTGGTTTGATAAAAAATGATAACAGTTCAAACCGTCTCATAACTTAGAAAACTTACAATTTACGTCTTAACACACATCTATGTAAAATATACGTTCAATTTACCGTTCAGTTTGCTAGATATGATCACTTGAATTTCGTGATTTCGTGGAGACTTCTCGTAGCCGACGGAAAAAAGAGAAGGGAAGAAAAACAGCGAAAGGGTTAAGGATCTACGTGCGATGGAAAAAGCTGTACGGTGAAAAGCAACGTGTTTATTACATCCGTAGGACTTCCACGTATTCTTTATCTACGCACCCGACGAAAGGGCGGTCGTGTACGATTTAGATAGCGTGTTGCCATTTCCTACGCATTTCTGGAAGTACGCGATGGAAACGTTCAGATCGGAAGAAGTGGTGTCGCCAGAATATCATAGAAGATTCAGAGTGTTGCCAGCCAGCGTGTACTTGCGGGAGTTCGCGTCGGATCGGCATCACATGAAACGGGAGGATGGCACATGGATCAAGACGCCGCCGGATCATCCTCCGATATCAACACCAAGTACGTTCGGTAGAACCGGTTAACGGAGGATTTACTCAAACTAGATTCCGCAGACCGCAGGAAAAGAAAGAGCATGCAGTAAAACCTCGATTAACCCTTTTAGTGCCGGGCGAAAAATAGGTGCCTATGCGAGAATAACCGGCCGAATTTCACAGTTTTGCTAGGGTTTGGGGAAATGCTCATAAAAGCCGAACGAGAAACAATATTTACACGATTCGAAAAGCAGTATATTAAGGACGAAATAAAAAACAAAACAATGACACCAGTACAAATTTATTTGGATTATTTCTCCCGTGGGCCAATATATCGGCTCTGGCACTTCTCGCCAGTTTAGCAGGAGCCGATATATCGTCTCCCGGCACTAAAAGGGTTAAATACAGAAAAAATACAGGGTGTCCCAGCCTTAGTGATACAGCGCTCTAACTCCAAAACTATCGGCCGAACGCAAAAATTTCAAATATGGAAATTGCATGGTAAATGGTGGGGCTCATGTTTCAGCGAGAAGGAATTTTTGTTAACTTTGTTATTTAACGTGTAACATTTATGTACGATACATAATAAGTTGTTACAAGTGAATATGTTGCGAATTGGGTCGTGTTGCGTCGCATTTTAATCAGAAAAATGTTAGGAATGTGATGGTAAAAGTTTTACATAAAAACAGTTAATAATAAAGAAGTTCCACAGTTGCATTAAATTTCAGTGCATTTATGGTAGAGATATTTGTGCATTTATGGAGACTTTACTGTAATCATTTTTTTTTTTTTTTTTATTTCAATTTTGTACCATGGCAATATACTTCCTTGGGCCTGGAATCCCAAACGAGACCCGTGGTATCGATTTTAACAACCCCATGGTGCTTACTGCATCAATGGGACCGCCCGGGACCGATTCAAGATTTTTCCTTGAAAATTAGCAAACTTTGAAGCTTACGTTATAGCTTGAAAACTAATAAAAATCGGATAAATACATTAAAGCTTAATGAATTCGTCTTGAAAAGTACTATCGCATGGTATAAAAAAAATATATATAGTTCCATTTGAAAAACGAAACTTGACCATCGTATCTCGTTAAATAACAAGGTTAACAAAAATTCCTTCTATTCGAAACATGAGCCTCATTTTACCATGCAATTTCCATAGTTGAAATTTTCCATTCGGCCGATAGTTTTGGAGTTAGAGCGCTGTATCACTAAGGCTGGGACACCCTGTATATCATAAGATAAGCAATGAAAAAATAAAAAAGACATTAAAAGAAAAAGAGAAATTGGAAAGAACAAACACATAGTGGTGAAATAGGAGACTTACTTCTCATTCACCTTAAAAAATAAACAAAAATGGTCATATTACGCATTATTAGTAATCTTGCATTTATCCAATCAATCCTGTCTTACACTTATCCAGTCTTTATCGTAATCGTCGTAGCCAATCCAATGGAAAGGAGCCTTATTTACACAGCATATTTTCTTTATTTATGATCGCTGGTTCCACTCATTCGCGGCTTCTTATCCTAATTTTACTTGAAAAACAGCTGGCTTTTGTAATGAAATTCTTGTAAGAGATTCCTATGTCAGGGTGAGCTTTTTATGTCTAAGCAACCGTCTCTTCCACTTGCCAACGCATTTCAACGAACGAAGCTCACATGCAATAATCAAGATTGCAATAAACGGGGTTCTACTGTGCTATATCGTGCAATAAGAAAATTGCTTCTCTTTTATTCCTATTAAGAAGTAAGGCCACTCCAGGTCTCCTAAAAGTAAGCTATTTTCGAGAATTTTTTCCAGAAATTCATTAAAAGCAGTGAAAAATTCAAGTAGGGTATTTCATTAAATGGATATTAATTTGTACAAACAGAATTTTTTTTATATATTTTTCTTCTAAAATTCCGGCTTGAGTATCAAAAAATTTCGAATCACCTTTTACGCGATGCCTCAAACTGGCGAAAGGATTGAGCACACGTCTTTCAACTTAGAACATAAAATCGAACATTTTCTGTAAATATATTGCCAAAGCTATGGGACAGCGTATGGAAATTTGAAAATACCGGTTTCTTGCAAAATGGTGCACAAACAAAAAAAAAAAAAAAGAGGTCAATTATTTTCCGGGGCTCTTAGAAAGAGATAAAACGCTCTCTACCAACGCTTTGCTTCCACTTCGTTACTTCGTTAATGTTACGAATTTCGTAATGAAATTTATACGGTACACAGGTGCACACTTTCGTAAAATGGACAAAAATAATCAGGTGATTCGGTTGTTTTTAATCCATCAAAGTAGAAACCCCGCTCAAGGCATGCACCTAGACTACATTGCTCGAACTGTCCCTTTTACCCAATGTGCATATTTATTTTCAATCGTTCTAGGGAGCAAGGATAACTTGGATACGTTTATTAACATGGATCCAGGGACCGGGTTTGGGGTGGTGTTGACGTTAGAGCAATTATTCGATCGGTTTCATAGGCCGATCGCGAACCCATCGGTCACCAGTTCACCTCAGCCACAACCGACACCGACATAAGCACACGGCTAAGTAAGTTTCGCAGGGTAACGATCGTTCGCTTCAATTTCAAATGTCAAAATGAATTTAATGGCCTAAGGGAATTCGTAGGCGCGTGTACCTTCGCGAGCGGACGTGTTGGGTCATAATTGGACAATTACGTTTATTTAATCGTTGAACATCGTCTGAAAATCGCAACTGCGTTTTCCATGTACCAGCAAACGTATAGTGGAGCCGATAGATTATTTATCGAACGTTAGCGATGGGACCGAGGCGTGTTTAGATACCATCGGTGTATTGGACGTTATAAATTGATTCTTTTGCGTCGCAAAACCATCGAGTAGAATTATTGCGAACGGTTTGAGGCTTACCGAGACATGATGAGCGTTGTATCGATACGTATCGACTGTTTCAACTTTGCGTAACTGCTTGCAATTTTAAATAGAATTACAAGTAAACGATTGCAACGTGGTCATCTTCAATCTACGATTGATACATTGACTGTTACGACGGTTATCACTAACAACCATCTTAAACCAACAACGAGTTTCGAAATCGTTTACATTGAACGGGTTCTAATACTTTTAATTTTAATACGAAAATTTTAAATATCGCTTCTACTGTCAGAAATGGTCGAATTATCGTAAATTTTTGTTTTCATAAACTTGATCAAATGTCGATGAATCCTTTAGATTTGCGAAACTGACGTGGCAGTCAACGTGTTAACGAGTGTTAATTGTTCAGCGGAATCATACTGTGGAAGCAACGTTTTATTGAAATTATTATTTAGACAAACGTTTATTGGAAGCAGAGCTGTTAATTCTTAATTACCATTACGTAATGATTACTTTGACCAAGTAATAAAATAGTTGCCATTACAATTACTCATTGGAGTTACTTAACTACTACCAGTAATCCAATTACTTTTTAATGACTACTTATAACTGTCTAGAAAGTAATTAAAAGGTGTCTCAAATCTAAAGTAGTTGAAAATACCTAAAAGTAATTAAAAAGTAGTTGTAATTTAATTACCTTTTAATTATTTTTAGGTATTTTTAACCACTTTAGATTTGCGATAGCTCTTAATTAGTTTCTGAGTACTTATAAATAATTATTAAAAAGTAATTAAATTACTCAGTAATTAAGAATAAGGTATTGCATAATTACTAAAAACAAAGTAATCAAGAATTAGTTAAATAACTATTTCCTAATTCAAAAGTAATTATTTCAAATTGTAATGGGTACAAAAGTAATCATTACTTTACAGCTCCAATTGGAAGTTATTCTTACACTCTCCAGCTGTGATATTAGATCAGCTTACATCGTTGTTTCCTCAAAGTCTTTGTTATACCGATACTTGATGTCTGCATTTTATCAATGGTACAAAATGTGTAAAATATAGTTTCGCTGAAACACCAACGACTACTTGTTCTGATTGAAATGATACGTATCTGTATCAACAATCATGTCATCGGATTGGTCCTATTGCTACCGAGCATTCCTGATTTCGATGCTTCCTGTTTCGTATCGCAGTTAACGTTTGCTTGTTACGTTTTACGTGCCTCGTTCTTGCCACCGATTACATAATCGTAAGACAGATTAATAATCGCTCCAATTTACAGCGAAGTCTCCATAAATGCACAAGCTCGGGGACTGACCTTGTGCAATTATCGTAGAGTTCGTATATTCTCGTTTGCCGACGAGCTTCGAACGTAGAGGACAGCGACTAAAGAAGAGAACGGAGCGAAAACACTGAGGTATGTCGGTGAGACAATTTAATGCAACGGTGAAACTTTTTTATAATTAATTTTTTGTCGTAAAACTGTTACCATTATATTCCTCACATTTTTCTGATTAAAATGAGACCAAACACGATATAATTCGGATGATGTTTACCATGCATCTTTTTTTAGTTAGTGTTCTACGATATATGCACAGATACATGATACATAATGAGTTGTTACAAGTAAATATGGTGCGAATTACGTCGTGTTTGGTCTCATTTTAATCAGAAAGATGTCAGGAATATGATGGTAAAAGTTTCACAACAAAAAAGTTGGTAATAAAAAAGTTTCAAAAGTTTCAAAAAGATTCCAGATCATGTTTACACTGCTGTGAGCCCTTAAGAGGTATACCCACTAGTACCGGAGCTGCTTTCTGTGCATTTATGGTAGAGATATTTGTGCATTTATGGCAGAGAAATTTGTGCATTTGTGGAGACCTTGTTGCATTCACTCGTCGTTGAGCGTCGCGTACGAGTTTATTATAGTCGAGCGTCGCGTACGTGTTTATTATCGTCGAGCGCTTCGATTCCGGTGCAACGCGTTTCAAAATTTTGTATTCTGTTGAAAATGAACATTTAGATGTATCGTTATAGAAAGAACAAGAATCGCGTTGTTAACGCCGTTACGCGAGCTCGCTGTCGAGCGATTTAGCGTGCAGTGATCGTGCTGTGCTTTTTTCAGTATAAATTGCGTTCGTTGAAGAATTCGGCAAACACATTTAATTATAAACGACCTGCTCGAACGCGTAAACGATGTTCGCCGAATACTTCACCGGACATCCCGTATCTCGATAAGTATTTTTGCCCCGTTGTATTTTCTAGGCTATGCTGAAATAATGTTTGTTTCCTCCCTTTTGAAGTCTTTTTTGCAGAGCGTTTCGCGGAGACCCTCGTCTCCGCTGTGTGCTACCACGTTACGATCGGCCATGTTTCAAGTTTTGAGCCGGTGGCCGATATAAGTGTCCTCGTCTTTGTACGTTTCGAACCATGCAAATGAATCTCTGTCACGGCTTTGCTCTATCGATGGTATTGTATCGTTATAATTATTGTGTCAAAGACTGATCGTATTTACGGACAAATTCCAACACTCGACGGGAAGTCCCCTCCGATTGATGCATAAACTTAGGTGCGTGTATCTATTGAAGCGCGTCCGGGCACAGACGCGACCGAAAGCGCTTATTATTATTGTGCGATCGATATGGTAAGGGCGAAAGCTCGATCTTTGTGAGATATAATGTAATTATTACGATTATTGTAATTCTTGTGATACTTTACACTTTCTACTTTGAATACCTACAAGCTATACTTGTCTACTGTTTGTACTATATATATATATATATATATAAAAATCGATTCTTAACGACCGTGCGTTCGTTTGTCGTCGCGAATATCCCCTCGATGATGTTAGATGATGTTAGATGAGTATGGAGAAATCGGGATTCGATCCGAATTCATACGGGATTGCATCCCCACACGACCAATTCTCTACATCGAAAAATCGTCTTCGAGTCAACGAATGCGTAATAATATACCTTATATCCCGAATATCGACAACGAAACCTTGAAATGATAATTGTAGTGCTTTCGTTTCTTTTTCCCTTTCTTTTCGATTACACTTACTTTATGTCAGTGTATCTAGCGTTAAAAAAATCTGTTGTAATTTAAAATGATTATTGCAGTGCTTTCATTTGTTTTTCCTTTCTCTTCACTTACTTCGTATTAGCTGTTTTTCGATCTCTTCGTTGCTGAATTAATCTAGCCTTAAAAAAAATCTGTTGTAATTTAAAATGATAATTGTAGTGCTTTCATTTGTTTTTCCTTTCTCTTCACTTACTTCGTATTAGCTGTTTTTCGACCTCTTCGTTGCTGAATTAATCTAGCCTTAAAAAAAATCTGTTGTAATTTAATCCGATTCAATTGACAACTTTATATTATTCTTACATCATTATGGCATTTTCTAACGCGACTATACTACTTCTTTATCACAATTCTACATATTCCAATATCTCTTCTAAACCACCTTATTTTTCTTCCATAAATACTATTAATTCGTCTAGTTCAAAATTCTATATAATTCATACCGTTTACTTATTTGTAATAATTCGATTCAAATCGAAGATTAAAACTAATTACGTGTAATGTTCGTTCGAAACGCTATTCCGATCAGAAATTAGAAATGTATTTGAACGTCACGATGGAAAAGAATTTCGGAGAAGTCGATCGACAAGCGAACGCAACCGAACTATCGGTTCGTCGATTCAATAAACAAGCGAATCGGCAGTCGCGTCGATAGTTTAAGAGTTCGTCCACTCTTTGCCTTCCAGAATATCTTTCACTAGTTCTCTTTGTCTTCTATCGTCGACATGTGTATCTCTCCGATTCACTTGTATCGTGTTATATGCTACTTGCATACGTACTTGTAAGCAACCATGTTCTGCGACTTCGATCACACCGAAGTCACCGGACGAATTCGAGTATAAATCACGGGACGGAGCAGTCCGCGATCGTTTTTTACACGGCTACTGGCGTTGTGTCGTATGTGAAAAATCCGGGACCGATCTATCTAGCGTGTAGTACCTCCGATTACCGAAATAAAAACGCGAGAGAAAAAGACCTAAATCTCTCTATCATTTACGGGGAGAAAACCACATTCGGAAGCCGTGAAATGTTTTTCATGATCTTTTTTTTTTTTTTTTTACAGGCAAAAATTTACTTAGATTTTTGTTAATATTAAGAATGCTTAAGGTATGTTTCAAAATACATTCGGCAATATTTTTGATTCATTTCGCACGAAAATCTTTGAGATAGCAACTGTTACCTCTAGCAAGTAGGACTTTTCGTCACAATTTTTATTCGAAATCAGTGAAACTTTTTTTTTTTTTTTGGACTATTAACATGTTTTCTAAGAATGTGACTTAACCTGCAGCGAAAGCAGTTGAACATTGAATTTTTTAGAAGCCATTAAAAGAAAATATCACCATTTCTTCATTTTTTAGTTAAAAAATATACTTTAAACAATGGGATCACTCCAATTCTTCAGTCCATATTCAAAGCATTTAAGTAAAATACATGTACACAAAATTCAAAAACGATACGTCAATTCGTTTTTGAGTTATTTCCACGAATTGAAGAAATATTAAAAAACAAAAACACAATATCTTAATAACTTCTTTATAAATTGAATCGAAAAATTACCAAATGTACTTTGAAACACGTTTAAAATATTCTCAAACTTGAAGAAAACTTTACATAAATTCTTCTCCTGAAAAAAATATCCCGAGAAATGATTAATTGCCTTCCGAATGTGATCTCCTCCCTCGAGGTATTACTAAATATATCAGAAGAAATTGTTATTACATAATATCTTGACGATGACGATTATTATATATGTTGTACAAACACGCATATACAGGGTGAGGCACTTAAAACAAGCCACCTGAATAACAACCTTATTCAAACCTTATTCCGGTGGCTTGTTTTAAATACCTAACCCTGTATATATACATATATATATGTATATATTTATCAATATCTCATATTTATTATATCGATAAATTTAATTATACGGTATCAATTTCGATACGCCGACAAGAGAGTTTAGTCGGAAATATTGAATTATACAATGTTTTATACATACGTATGTATTATATATATATATATAATATATAATATATAATAATAATATTATATAATATATATATACATGTATATATCCATATATATATGTATATAAAATGCGTACATATACATATATTTGTTGACGTTTGATGACACGTTCTGTTATCACTCTCATTCTGCAAAATACATTATATTAGGTTGTCCTAAAAGTTTCTTTCGTGGGTTGCATTCAATTATTGTCTGTGGCAGTATTTATATAAATAGGCAATCTAATTTCTTAGACATTGATGCTGTAACAGTAATGGAGCGAAATGAATTGTACACAATTTTTTAATGTAACATAAAACATACAATATTGTGTATGCATTAATTATCAATAAAACGAAAGAAACTTTTGGAACAACCGAATGATACGACTTCCAGGGTCATGATATCATCTATCACGATACGCGCGTACGTTCACAGAGTATTACCAAAGGGTTAAGGAACCCCTTTACGAACTTCGTCTTTCGAGTCTACGATAAGTTTATATTAAATAATAAATTAACGCACTCCGTTTATCTCAGCTTTGGAATCTTATAAATGTACTTTTTCAATCTTTATATAAACAAATCATCACGTGGGTACGAAATCTTCTCTACCTTTCCTCGGTCGAGTGCCTCCTCTCTATCGTTAATAGGACGAGCGAAACGAACAGCAACAATATCAACAAAATAAAACGAAATACCTCGAAACGGTAATCGAAGCTAACATTCTACGAGCGTGCACGTTTCGTTTGCATCCTTCGACACAGTGGCGCAGTATCTAATAAGAATAACAAAAACACGTTTTTGTTTACCGTACATACATAATATGTGAAATATAAGTTATTTTATTCGAAGAACTTGTTTGTATATTATTATTATATGGATTTACTGGAATCTATCGATGCCAGTATTTTCAAAAATAAATGAAAGCACTTTAGACACTTTATCATTATTGATATCGACTTTCCCTAAAGTAGAGGTGATACAAATAAATTTGTTGTTTCGATTGAAAGCTTGAAAAAGTTATCAATTGTATTAGAAAATTGTCCTCTAGCGAGAAAAGCGTAAACTAATATAACGAATCAAATTGGCTGAGATAAAGTGATACACAATTTCTCAGTCCGAACGATTCACAACTTTTAAATGAAATAATAAATATACTTACTCTGAAGTATTCATTACTCTATAAGTCTGAATTAGATATATCTCTTATGTTCCATAATTGGTTTGCATTGAGTCTCCATAAAATGAGATTGAATCAACACACTGGCTTCGTGTGGTCTTTCAATTGTGTTACGTTGAAAAAAATTGTTACAAGTTTTTAAATAAATAATATCTTTCAATGAAAGATTGAAGAGAGATTTGAGAGATTGAATAGACTTTGAGGAGAGTCGGAAACAACTGTTTCACATCGTGATTTACGCTTTTTAACATAGATTCTCTACATTTGTTATAAAAACTTAAAATCTTATATTTTCTCATTGTAACTATTTCTAGAAATTACTATTTCTTATTTGTATAGTATACACAGAAACAATTGTAAATGTACGGAAACTTCGCAACATTCTCCGACTACTATATTGTACATGCAATTGTATATATAATTCCAGTTTTTGTTCAATCACGAATTGAACAAAAAGTTTAAAACTTATGTAATTGTTTTAGTTTGCGAAACGTTTGTTGATATTTATAAAGAAGAATCGAACCACTTACAGTGTTTTATATATTCATTTTGAGACACGTATACAGTAAAGACTGGATAAGTGCAAGAATTTCTATTCTGTGTTTATTAGATGGACTGGAAAGTAATGTCGTTTCTTTTATATTAAATTCAAACAAATTTTTTATAAATTTCTATTTTTAATTATTGATTGTATAATCGCTCCCGTCATCAATAGCATTTTGCCATCTAGTGTGCAAATTGCCAATGCCAGATCGATAAAAATCAATTAGTTGATGAACGATAAACAAGTATTTAAAATTGCAGAAACGACATTATTTTCCGGTTCACCTAATACATTTGTACATTACATTACGTTACATTACCGTAGAAAAGGACAGAGACTGAAAGAGAAAGAGGTCCGAGGAAAATTGCAGTCGGCAGAAGCGTAATCAATCGGTTAGAAACATATTACACTGTTTAAAGAACTGCAATCCTCCTCCCTCCCAGTGGTGGAGATAGTCATCTTGCATTTATCCAGTCAATCCTGTCTTGCATTTATCCAGTCTTTACTGTACATCTAACACCCACGTGTGCCATTTGAAGCCAATGTGTTATTTACAATAGTATCCTCTTTTTATTTATACGGGCTTAAAAATCCCATTTTCTCTGATAGAAGTACAATGCGCCACTGTCTCGACACATTCTTAATCGATGAAGATTATTCCGAGACTGTTGTCTATCAATCGCTAAGCTAAGTTTATCCGATACTTCCTTCCGCACGATCGACTTTCTATTACCCCGTACCACGTGTACGAGGTGCTCGGTGTTTGTTGAAGTAACCCGTACACACACGTGGTTTAACGTTTTTGCTCATTATGCGCACAGTATTCCGGCGTGTGCTGTTTGATCCGGGTCAAACGCTGTTATGAGATTAATCGTACTTTAGGCATCGGAGAGTCGAGAGAGAAGAGACGACGCGCATGAATTTTCAAATGTATATTGTATTCAATTTGCAAAAATATATATAATGTA